TAGGTGTCTAGTCACAGCTGCTGGCGAAACGTCAGGTCCTACAGTGCCAAGACCACGGCCAAACAACCCGGAAAATCTATAACAGCTAATTTCTAAATATTCCTTGGAGGTTTTCGGTTGGTTTAGTTCTCCCCCCCCCCTTTTTGGAGTGTAATAAGGTACCTAGTTCCTGACCTGGTCTTCTTAGAAATGTATCTTTGTTTGTTTGAGCACCTCTTCTCTCTTTTTGCTTTTAGTAATGGCAGATTCATATTCCTATAGAGGCGGGAAAAAAATTGCTGGATCCAGCAAAGCCATCGCCGACAAAGAAAGCCATAAGACGGAGATGAAGATCAGCCCGACCTATGAGCAGTCACGGCTTGGTAAGGATGCCCAGCTTCTGGACTAAAGGACAGAATGGATAAGAGCATCAGAAGAGCCCCACTGGATTAGACCAGTGGATCATCTAGTACATCATCTTGTATTGCAGAGTGGCCAACCAGTTCCTCTGGAGGTCCAACAACAGGGCATGAGGCTGAACCCTTCATTAGAACTTCAGAAGGGCCCTACTGGATCAGACCAGTGGTCCACTTAGTCCAGCATCCTGTCTCACACAATGGCCAACCAGTTCCTCTGGAGGTGGGCATGGAGGCCGAGGCCTTCATAAGAACATCAAAAGGGCCCTGCTGGATCAGACCATTGGATCACTTAGTCCAGCATCCTGTCTCACACAGTGGTCAACCAGTTCCTCTGGAGTTCCAACAAGAGGGCATAGAGGCTGAGGCCTTCATTAGAACTTCAGAAGGTCCCTGCTGGATCAGACCACTTAGTCCAGCCTCCTGTCTCACACAATGGCCAACCAGTTCCTCTGGAGGCCCAACAGCAGGGCATAGCGGCTGAGGCCTTCATAAGAACATAAGAAGAGCCCCTGTTGGATCACACCAATGGTCCACCTAGTCCAGTCTCCTGTCTCACACAGTGGCCAACCAGGTCCTCTGGAGGGCCAACAGTAGGGCCCAGAGGCTGAGGCCTTCGCCTGATGTTGCCTCCTGGCTCTGGGATTCAGAAGCTTAGTGCCTCTGAGGCTGGAGGTTCCTCTCAGCCACAGTGGCTAGTAGCCACTAATAGACCTCTCCTCCATCTGTCTGTCTAGTCCCCTTTTAAAGCCATTTCAATCAAGAGGAATGCCAGAGGCGCACACAGAAAAGAGAGTTAAAGTGCTAGAAAGCATGGGAAGGGATGCCTGGTAAATGAAGATAGTTTCAGGGGGTTAGCTGTGTTGGTCTGCAGAAGAAGAGCTGGATTCGAGTCCAGGAGCACCTTAGACACCAACAAGATTTGGGGGGTAGGAGTTTTCAAAAGTCCAAACTCCCTTCGTCTCTCCAAAAATCTTGTTGGTCTCTAATGCAGGCCCGTAACTACAGTGGGGGGTGTTTTGGGGCCTGGCCCCCTCACTTCCTGCCAAGGCCCCCTGAGTTCCGTGCAGCCCCCAGGCCCCCCAATTCTCTGGGCCGCCTGGACGACTCCCCACCGCTGCCCCTTCCCCAAGCGCAGCTTGCTTCCCCACGTAGGCAAGCAGGCTGCAAGCGCTGCGAAAATGAGCTTTCAAAAAAAAAATTTTTTTATTTTGTGATGTCCGTGCCCCCTGACTTATTTAAAGGCCCCCCCGAATTTCAAAATCCTGGCTACGGCCCTGCTCTAAGGTGCTACTTGACTTGAATCTAGCTCTGATAAATCAGTGCTCAGGTTAAAGGAATGCCCGTAAGCAGATTTTAGCACCCACTGAAAAACACTTCAGGAGCGTCCATTCAGGTGAACGCAAGATGTTCAGATTTCTTCAGGTCTCTTCCGAATCGTCCGGGGTTATGAAATCAGAAGAAAAATGCAAATCAGTTGTTGTTGTTGTTGTTTTCTCCTCTCTATCCAGGAAATAGGCTAAGGTCATGTCTGTATACAACTGATTAAAAGCAGAGTCATAGCAGCTTAACCCTCCAGTTCCACCAAAAAAGTAGGGTTGCCAATCTCCAGGTGGTCTCCCAGAATTACAAATGATCTCCGGGTGACTGAGATCAGTTCCCCTGGAGAAAATGGCTGCTTTGGAGGGTGGACTCTCAGGCATTGTACCCCACTAAGAGCCCTCCCTTCCCCAAACCTGCCTCCCCCCCCAAATCTCCAGGTATTTCGCAACCCAGAGTTGGCAGCCTTACAAACAAGGAATGTGGATGATTTAACTCCCGTCCCTTTGCAAGACTTTGCCGTCGTCGACTGGGACGGGGTTTCAATCAATGAGTAGCTAACCAGATCTTAACTTGACAGGCGAGTCGATCTAAGCCAAGTTCTTTTCCGCCCCTCTTGTCTGCAGGAAATGCAATGAACGATAAAGCAGAAGGCAAAAAGAAAGGACGACCCAAGGCAGAAAGCCAAGCCCTGAAGGATATTCCCGTAAGATTTGACGTTGACTTTAATCTTTTCTGGTAACTGGGGAGCAAGCAGGAGACAGACACAGGGCCGGGCGGGCCGGGCCGGGGGTGGTGGCAGAAAGCCAAGCCCTGAAGGATATTCCCGTAAGATTTGACGTTGACTTTAATCTTTTCTGGTAACTGGGGAGCAAGCAGGAGACAGACACAGGGCCGGGCGGGCCGGGCCGGGGGTGG